AAAGCGCGGCGCGGAGCTGGGGGCAGGGCGAGAGGGCGGGAGAGCGAGGGACAGGGATGGACGGGCCGTGAGACGGGTAGCAGCGGTGTGGGCGGCGACAGAGAGGCTCCCGGAGAGCAGGGAGACACCCTTAACGCAACAAGAAGTCCCTGGGAAGGAGGACTGGGACAGGAGACAGGCTTCTGGGGGAGGGGCGCAGGATTGGGGTGCTGAGGACCAGGCCAGGGTCTGAGTATGCCGCACCCAGCCCCGCTCGCGGCTGAAGCCCAGTAAACACCCAAAGCTCTGTTCTGAGGAGCTCTCCCTGGTGTGGTCCCCGGGTGCAGGGACACCTATCCTTAGGTGCCTGTCCACCTGGCTCTGTCTGCAGCAGATCCAGCCCAGAGCCAGCCTCCCTTGGAAGTCCCCTGAAGAGCCTTTTCCTTCCAGCTCCCTCAGGCAGGGAATGCTCAAAGCCCCTCTCAGAGCTTCTGTCCATTCGCAGGCAGATGTACGATGAAGAGGACCAGAGCCCAGCCCTGACCCGGCGCCTGCCGGGCTGAGCAGCCCTGCTCCTATGCCTTGAGGGTACTGCAGATTAGACTCACTAAAGTGGGCGGAAAAGGTGGAAGCCATGTGACGTGAAGACCAAGGTCAGGAGCTGCTCCCAAGACCCCGGCCTGGCCACCTCAGCGTTCCCAGGGTCCTCTCTCCATCGGACTTGGGTCTTGGTCACTGCAGAGTCAGTAAGTCAGGCAGAGAGCAGGGGCCCCCAGGAGATGCCTGTTAAGTGGCCATGGCAGATGCCACGCCTGTCCCCTCCACCCAAGTGTCTACCAGGTCTAGATGCAGGAGGAGCTGATCAGAGCTCCGTGTCTGCCAACAGGGCCATGTCCACAAGGAGCCCCTGGAGTTCCCCAGCTGTGAAGAGGAGGCAAAGGGGGCAGCACCAGCAGTGGCGGCAGTGGGTTCTCCCTGGCCTGTGTGGAGAGTTTTCAGGCAGAGAAAGGCCTTCTACACCAACCAGAGGTAGGGCAGGCCTCTCAAATGATCCAACACTTCTGAGTGCTGCTGATTTTGTCAATTGGAAGCTGGCAATACAGTGAGACGTACTCGTCTCTCCCCACTCTTCTGATCTCTACTTTTAATACCTCCCTCCTTGCCTGAAGGTTAGGCTGGCTTGTTACAGGTGCTGTGATTGGCCAAAACGGAGTGGGCCAGATGAAAGGAGGAGGGGCTGGGAGCCAGGGACACCCACCAGCAGGTAAGACCCTGGGCCACCCTTAGACCTGGAGAGCCTTCAGCAGACATGTCCTTCCTGCACAGGTCTGAGTGCTGCCCCTCTGCACTGTGTGCTTCTGGTTAGTAGTCAGCTGGTGAGGCCTGGGGCAGGGGCTCGCATGTGCTGGGGCAGTGCCATCCCCAGGAATGGTGAGTTGGGGTTCTATGCGCTGACCCTTGAGAGGGTGTCAGGGTACCTCCAAGGTCTCCAGGACATGCTTTGTCCTGGAGAGACCCCATGGTCGGCACTGGGGACACTTGGAGACTATATAAGCTGATGATGCCCGGTGATAGACTGATCACACTGAGCAGCATGGGCTTATAGTACTGAACAACTAACTCTCCAAAGCTCTGAACCCTAACTGCTAAATTAATAAGTGATGTTAATGCCAAATAATTCCTAGCCCTTGACTATCTATTGCTTTGGTCTAACTTGTCCCCCAAACTTCCCAAGTTAGAAACAGAATCCCAAGGCCACAGGGTTGGGAGATGGTGCTGTGAGCAGGCAGCTGGGTCAGGAGGGCCCCACCTTCATGCTGAGTGAGTTTACCATGTGGAGGCCTTGTGGGAGGGTTTCCCTTGGCTTCCTGCCTTCCATTGTGAGATGACACAGCAAGGCCTGACCAGAGGCCAGCACCTGACCTCGAACTTCCCAGCCTCCAGAACCATGAGCAGAGAATCTCTGTTCATTACAAGGACCCTGTCTCAGGCATCCTATTGCAGCAGCACAGAAGCGACTCTGTGGATAACGACTCTTGGACTACTGAGTACTAAGCAGTGCTGAATAACAGTGTCATGTGCTAATTAATACCAGCCACAGCCGCCCAGCACTGCAAGATCACCAAGTGCAGCAGTGCCCCTGGGCTGGCCTGGGGCTCCTGAGAACCTGTGAGGCAGCTGGACTCAGAGAAGTCAAGCATCCTCCCCAAGGTCACACAGCAAATGAGCAGTTCAAAGGCTTGAGCCAGGCCAGTATGACTTCCTCCCAGAAGCCCGGGTCCCCTATGGCTATGGGCTGTGTCCCCCCAGCTCAGCCTCCTCTCCTTGCTAGCCTCTTTCTGCGTCTGAATCATTGTCACTGTGACCCAGCAAGCTGCCACGGTGGGGGTTGGGGAGCCAGATGGAAAGAAGAGGTACAGCTCTGCCCCTCCTGGCGTCCCCAGGGCCCCTCAAACTGTTTGGGGAGACACGGGCAGCCCCTCTACCCCCACCTGTCACTGGCTGGGGTTTCGTAAGCCTTGGGAATGAAGAGCCAGCTAAAATTAACCATTCTCAAGCTGTCAGCCCTGGAAATAAAACGGCCTCCCATTGGCTGCTGGTGATGTCACTGTCAGGTTAATAATAGCCCGCAAGTGCATAACTAACCACCTGTGTGTGCGTGCCTTCCTGGGGGCCGTGGCCAGGCGGCACCCTGGGAGCTGCTGCCCAGGTGGGCCGCGGCTGGGCCTGAGACTCCCTGGAAAGGACCGGGCCAGTATGCCCTCTGCATGCCCCAGGCTTCTACCCTTGCTCAGCCACAGCTGCCTTGGGATCCCAGTGTGCATGCATAGTCAGTCACTGGGTGTGGAGCCTCTGCCAGCTGGGCAGCAGGGACCTGCATGGCAGCCTCTCGAGGCAGGGTGCCCAGAGGACTGAACCAGACCTTGAGGCAGCAGACTGAACTGTCCCCATGGTAAGAGATGCGCTCTGGGCAATGAGTCCTCCCTCAGAAAAGCAAGATCACATCTCCCCAAGTCAGAGAAGCTGGGGGGAGGGGTGCAGGCAACGGGCTGGCCAGACTGGGGCTCACCAGGCAGTCCTGAGCCTAGCAGCTTGCAGGGAGCTGTTGCCATGGTAAGAGGCAGCGCGCCCCAGGAGCCCGCCCCGCCCCACCCAGGGAATGCGGGAGCAGCCCCAGAGGTACTTCCTCCACTGAGAACCAGCAGGAGAGACACTGTGCTTCAGCAGGACTAGGCCCTCTTCAGCCCTTCGTGGACGTAGTCTCTGGCCAGAGAGGGGCCTCTCAGGCCCAAGAAGGGGCAGTTCTCAGGGTCAGAAGGGCACAGAGCCCAAGGACAGGAATATGGTCTTTCTGCAGCCAGGTCTGGCAGAGGATGAGAGCTTCCCCAGGGCTCCCTGGAAGCAGTCAGGGAGAGGCTTTCCCAGCCCCTACCCACCCCAGGCCCGTCTCCCCCCCTGCACACTTGACACCAGGTTCCCGGAGGGGATGGGGAAGGTTGGGGGGTCTGGGGCTCCTTAGGGAGCTTCCCAAAGCTGCCCTCCTTGGGAGAGCTAGGGATGAGGTAGAGAGGAGGCTCCGTGTGCTGGCCAAGCCTGCCCCAGCAAGAAAGGAAAAGGCTGGAGGCACTTCGGCCCTGTAAAGGCCTGGGGCTGAGCATTCTCAGTGGGGTTAGCACGGCCCCAAGAGTGACTGACCACAGCCCCTCGAGGTGCACGTGAGCACCTCCCCACCAGGAGGCGCTGCATTGATCACCGCCTTTTCCTTGGCTGTGGGTTGAATTTCCTCTCATTTTGCATCCAGTGATTTTTTTTTTTTTTCTAAATCAGAACACCACGCAGAGAATGGATTCTGTTACCTCTTGGAAAGCGGGCTGTCTCTCATTTTAGCAGGCCACTGAACAAGCCTGTGGGGCTTGTCTCGTGCTATGGTTAGTTTCTGTGTGCAGGGGACAAAGGGGCTCCCAGCCCCTCGAACCTGGAGGTGGGCAGCCCTCAAGCCTGGTTTCCTCTGCAGGTCTCCACTGCTAGATGGGTCTAGAGTAGGCACTGTAGGAAACTAAAGTCCTTTCTCCAAAAATAATAACAATAGGGAAGCCCAACCATGCTGACTGGGCCCATTGTTGACAGCCCTGCTTGTCTCCTAGAACCTGTACTCCACTCACACCCGTGGGGGACACTAAGGTGACCCCGTGAACCACACCCTGAGTAACAGCTGCCCCCAATCCCACCAAAGGGAGTCTTGGCTGTGTCCCCGTGGTGGGCTCCCACTGCTCCTGGCGGACCAGGGAACAGGATGCTCCTGCCAGCCAATAAGGGATTCTGCCAAGAACCATATGACCCACAAAGAGGACCCAAGCTTCCAAAAGAAGCCACGGTCTTTGATGGTGCCCTTCTGAGACCTCTGACCAACCTAGCTGAAGCCATGCTGGATTCTGGACCCAGGTGAACTGATGTAAAAAAAATTTTTTAAATCCACTGTGTATTTTAAAGCAAGCCAGGCATGGGGACCATGCCAGAATCTAGGAGACTGAGGCTGGAAGATTACTGAGTTTGAGGCCAGTCTGAACTGTATAGAGACACTGTCTCAAAAAAAAACCCAAATAAATAGATAGAGTAAAGCCACCAAAACTGTGAGGCTGAGGCAGGATTGCCACTTTGAGCCCAGCCTGGGCATTTTAGCAACTTAGAAAAACCCTGCCTCAATAAAGTGAAATGACAACACTACGAGAAGCTGGGGATATAGTACAGTGAAGTTCAGTGCAAAGGCCCCAGGTTCAGTCACCAGCATCACAAGCAAAGAGAAAGCCACTGCATGTGTGATTCTGTGCTGTGCAGTTGGACAGAGCCCACAGCAGCAACCCTGCTGACCCCCACAGCCAGCACCTGTACTCCTGCCTGCCCCGCCCAGGACCTGGGAGCACAGCGGGGAGCCTCTTACAGAGAGGCCAGCGGCCTGGGGCGTGGGCTGCCTTCTATCAGGCTCTCAGGTCAGCCATCCTGTGTGTTCCACACTCAGCTGCCCAGTGCCTTGCGCCCTCTGTCCAGGCCCATAGCTGTTTGTGGAGGGGCAGCTACTGGCACCGGGTGCAGCTACTGTCATGGCAAGCAGATGAGAAATAATGTTTCATTTTGAAATAACTCACTTATGAAAATGTAAAAGAATAGTACCAAGAACTTGCCCTGACCCTTATCCATAGTCAGTGATCAGAAGCATGTTGCCCCTTTGCTTTATGTCCCTTGTACATATTTTCTCTTTATCTGAATCTTGTGCAAAGGCTGCATAAGGCTGGGTGTGGTGGTGCACACCTGTGGTCCGAGAACTCAGGAGGCTGAGGTAGGAGCATCCCTACAAGTTCAAGGCCAGCCTGGGCTAATAGTGAGTTTAAGGCCAGCTCGAACTGCATAGCAAGACCCTGTCTCAAAAAAAAAAAAAAATAGTGGCTGCATAAATCCTTGTCTTAGTCCTCAGTGCTCCACTTCCTCTTCAGTCATTCCAGTTGCCTTGGTCACTCCACATAGCTACATTTTCTCCCCAGCCTGGATTCTACACTGGTTTCACTGGTCACTTTGGTAGTTACCTCACTACAACAAAATGCTTGAGGCTGGATACTTTATGAAGAAAAGAGATGCTGTGTATGGTGGTGCACCCCTGTAACCCAGCACTCCAATAGTCTAAGGCAGGAAGAGCCATCACAGTATCAGATACTGAAAGTCTGAGATTGGACAGCTCCTCCTTTTAGCTTCTGGTGAGGCCGGGCTGTGAAGCATCGTGGCAGGGGCACATGTGAGCCAGAGAGGTTCCAGGACAGACAGGAAGCTGGAGAGAGTCCAGGCCAGTCTTGCTCTTCCTAACTGTGCTCTGCTCAGAACATCTCAGCCCTCTGTGGGAGCAGCATGGACCTGCAGCCACCCTGGAACCCTCACTCGGCCAGGCCCCCGACTGACCTTCCACCTGTGGGCAGCACCACACAGGCCAGACGGCCTGAGCACGGCTGTCTGAGGCACAGACTTCAAGCCCACTGCAGCACTAACTGGGCAGAGCCTGGCTCTGTGGAGCGTGGGCAGCCGTCCACTTGTTAAGGACTCTGACTTCTGCATGGGCAGGTTCGGGTCCCCCTGCCTGCCGGTCACCCCAAGAGTAAGCAAGTGTCTCCCGTGCTTTGGAGCCCCCGCCCGCCCTGTGGGGACATTCATGGCTGCATCTGGTCAAAGGGCTGCCCAGCTCCTCACAGCGCAGCCACTCCCTGCCCTCATGGTCACCCTGTGGTTACTGGGGGGGCCAGTGCTTGCTCCACCCTCCCTGTGCTAGTTACTTTGTCTTCCGCCACACACACAAGAAGTATGGCTCTTACCTCACACCATGTTTTTATTTATATTTATTTATTTATTTATTTATTTTGGTACTGGGGATTGAACTCAGGTCCCTGTGCTTGTGAAGCAGGTGGTGGAACCACTGAGCTAAATCCCCGGCTCACACCATGTTTTTAAAAAGTACTAGAAATGGATCAAAGAGCTAATAAAACTACAAAATTGTTAGAAGCAAAAAGAAAGCACAGGCGTAAATCTTCATGATCTTCAATTTGTCAAGGAGACCAGACACAAAAGGTCACCATGTGTATGATTTAATGTGTTCAGAAATATCCAGAAAAGGCAAATCTACAGAAATCAGATTGGTTGCTGCCAGAGGCTGGGGACAGGGGCAGCAGAAGGGGCTGCTGTTGACACAGGGTTTCCATGGTCTGGAGCCAGAGAGAGGTGATAGGTGCACAGCAGGCGAGTGCACCATCCGGCTCTGAATTGCATGTTTTAGAATGATTAATTTATGATCTGTGGTTTTAATTTTAAAAATTAGAGAGGTAGAATTTCCCTATACTCTTATTTTTAAAAATGTTTTTCGTGATTCTAGTTTTTTGTCTTTCCATCTTAATATTAGGATCTACTTGTCTTTTAAAAATCTGAGATTTTCCTTGAAATTACACTAAGTCTGTAAATCAACTTGAGAACGGATCTGTTTACAGCATGGAGTCAGCAACGACCATCTGACACTCCACACACTGCCTCCCTATCCACTTTTTATCAACATGTCATTTAAATTGTTTTCTTCTGTTTTTTGCAAGTGCGCAATAACACAATTCATGTTGGTGCGCTGACTTTGTTTCTTGCAATCTTCCCAACCTCGCTCAGCCAGTTCGCTTTTTTGTAGATTCATTGGGATTCTCTGCAGAGACAATTGCGTTGTCTGTGAGTAGGAACAGTTTCTTCATTTCCAACCTCTCTCTTGTTTTCTTTGCTTTATTTCACCGGCTAAGACTTCCTGCAGGTGTTGGATAATGGGAGAGTGGATATCTGTGTCCTGCTCCTCGTCCTGGGGGAGGAGCTCTGGGCTCTTCCTGCAGGCTCTTTACTCCACTGAAGACGTTCTTTTCTGTTTCTGCTTTGCTGAAAGTGTTTATCACCCATGGATATTCAATTTCATCTGAAGATGACTCTTCATGATTTGATACAAGTGTCCACAATTGTTTATTGGTGCATTTTTTCTACAATAGCTGCTTTAAAATCTTTGTTGAATAATTCCAACATCTGTTATCTCAGTGTTTGTGTTGATTGGCTATCACTTCAATGGGAATTGAGATTTTCCTGGTTCTTTCTGCTGACCGATTTGGGTCTTACTCTGAGGTTCAGTATTTTTGGTGACTAAACATTTCTTGATTGTCTGATGTCTTTGGTTGAAATCCAGAGCTCTGAAGTGCCTGTGCCTGATAGGTTTGTCCAAATTTTCTGTTGCATTTTGGGGTATAGTGTTTGCTGACTTCCTCACCCCTTCTGGCTGGAAATCTTTAATATTTTTATTACACAACTCACTTTCATTAAATGTATTTATTGAAGGCTTACTATGTGCTTGATTCTGTCTTCATCACTTGGGATCCAGTGGCATATGGGCACAATCTCTGCCCTCATAAATCTTGTTTAGCCAATGAGTAAACACGTTATACTGTTTCCAGTAGTGAAGGGAGTTGAGTCGTGAGAATATCTAACTTGTACTGAGCACCTATTATGTGCCAGGCACTGGTCTGAGCACTTACAGGGGACCCCTTAACCTGAAAATAGCCCTGTGGACTGGATACTTCCCCACTTTATACACAAGGAAATGGAGGGACAGACTGGTGACCAGCTACCACTGGCCCAGGTCAGTCATCTTACTTTCTTCTGTGTGGATGACATCATCTAAGAGTTACCAGCTCCCACTAGAGTTAGGGAGCAGCTGCCACTCAAGGATAAAGAGCCTTGGCCCCAAGCAAGCTGGTCCATCATGATCCTGGTTGTGAACATACTGTCTCCAGGAGCAGACTGAGAAGCTCCTACCTTATTCCCCAAATATCTGTGGCTGGGGTAAAGCACAATGACAATCACAGCTCCAGTTACTGGGTGTCTTAGTTATCGTCGCATTGCTGAGACAAAAATACCAGACACCCACAAATTAAAAGAGGAAAGGATTATTTTGGCTCACAGTTTGTAGATATTTCAGTCTATGGTTGGCTGGCTCCAAGGCAGGGTGGCCTGACAGAGGGGCATTACGGAGGAGAAACAGCCCATGGCAGGGCAGGCAGGAGGCAGAAGCCCCTCTTTCCCTTTTATCCCACCTAGGCTACAAGTCTTTTGTGTGGTGGCACCCACATCCAGGGTGGGGCTTCCATTATCCACACCCAGATCTATGTTAAACCAATTTAGTCATCACAAACCCTTAATCCCAGTATCACACCCCCATGACCCAGCTACCTCCCCAAAACCCCCTATGTGTGCATGAGGCTTTGAGGGGACATCTAGACATGATGACAGAGAACCTGGGTACATAATTCCCCATCATCCAATCAATCTACAAGAGCAGGAAAGGCTCAACTTTTTTTTTTTTTTTTTTTTTTTTTTTTTTTTTTTTTTTTGCTGTTACA